AAGGAGTGGTAGAGTACAGAGAGTTATGAAGAAGAGGGAAATGGGAAAGGGTAGAAGTAAGGATTAGGACTCCAGGAGGAGACTAGGTGGTAAAAATGAGGCACAGACACAGTTAAATGACAGTATTAAAATCATGTAAGTTAAAGCATGTGATTAAAGATAGCCAGTTAGACATTACTGTAGCATACTGTGCATCTTTTCAACTGGAGCATAATTTTTTGCAATCAAGTGAATGTGTCTGACTTCCAGAAACTGAGGGTATGTCCACAACGTAGCATGTACCTCGAAATAAGCTTCACAATTTGAGCTATGCAAATTGTGTAGCTTATTTCAAAATCTGGCACAGCGCTAATTTCTACACAGCGCTAATTTCAAAATAAAACACTATTCCATCATCTTCCTTAATCCTTGTGCATCAAGGTTTACAGGAGGCTGGAATAAGAAGCCCATTATTTCTAATGTATTTTGAAATAACAGGCATGCTGTTAAGACACGTAGAATGCTATTTCAGGATAATGGACGTTATTCCAAAATAGTGCCGCCGTGTAGACGTACCCTAAGAGACCTCCTCGATGGTATCACTAGTAAAGGTAAACTGACATGAATGTTAAGTAAATGGAAGATAGCTCTGGGAATGAGTAATGAGCTATATAGCACTCTTCCAGTTGCTGGTTCAAATCCAGCCTAGGTCAAATGGGGCTTCCGGGGGGAGGGAAGGGAGGCGGGTGTCACACAGACTCAGGTTCAGAAGGACTAATGGGGGATAGACTAGAGTGGAAACGCAGGAGCTAACGGGTGAAAGCACTGATCCAGAAGCTAAATGAAAATGGGAGTGCAGGGCCACACAGGGAGGGAGCAGATGTATCTTGACTGAATGGGAGAAGCTAGGGGTCAGCCAGGGACTGCATGGGAGAGGCTCTCTAACTCCCTACCTCCACCCAAAAATACCCAACTGTTCCATACTTCTCCCACCCACACCTAACAACCCTCCAGGTTCACTCCCACCAACTACTTCCCTCTCCCTGAACTCCTTCATTACCTCTGACTCCCTCAAGCATTTTCACTGCTTCTGAGGGGTGTAAGAAATATGGCTCTTTACTGTAGTTTAAATAAATTATTACTATGCCTAGTAAGGAATCTATTTGTCAAAAACATTTCCTAAATCTCTTGTTGTCTGTATTGTTAAAGGTATACTTGCCAACAGGTATTTTGAAATAAATTAAACTAATACAAATTGGCATGATTATAGTGTTATTTTGATAATTAAGATGTGCAGTACATTTAAATGTTGTGTGCAGAATTTTTAGTGTTTTGGAGCAGAATTGCCCCAGGAGTAAACAGTGCTCCCACCATCAGGTATTAGAATAAAAGCCAATAATTCACAAAAGCCTCATTGTAGACAAACAAAGCTTCCCTGATGGATTAGGATTGAGGCATCTTGGTTATGCTGTAGAGGAAGCTTTCAGTGGTGTTTTTTCCATAGGCAAAGGGCTGTCAATATGGTGACGTTACCCAACAATTGTTGAGCAGATTATATATAAATAAAATCCTAAAGGAATATGCAGAAAGTTATCCAAAGGGCAACTTTAAAAAATACTTTAAATTTTAATGTAAGCAAAAAGAATTGTTTTCTGTTAAGAGTTTCCAAAAAAAGTCCATTCAATTCACAGTCCCCTCCTGCATAATTCAGCATCCTGCAGAGGATTCTGCATTCTTTAATCATTTTTATATGAGTCTAGGGATTGTGTAGGAAGATGTAAATCTCATTAAACAGGTAAAAACAATTTCAGAATAAAAAGCCCAGCAGTTTAAATTGAACATGAGAATGTTTTGATCAACTGAAGAGAACCCCATTGTTCACTAGCCTGTTTCTGAATAAGTAAAAAACTAAAATCTGGAAAAAGTGAAGATAAAAAAAAACCCACAACCAGGAAGATAAAAAACCCACAACATGGGTGCAAAGCTGAGGACTGTAGTGAGGGAGCAGAAGTTAAATCTCTGTATTTTGCCTCAAAGTGACTCCCAGTCTGTAACATTTGTAACTTGCTTTGGGATGAAAGAGAGTCCATGATTCATAAGCATATTTGGCCATTCAGTTTGCTCCAGAGACTGGAGAGGATGGAACATGCTGAGTGGCTTGTACCATATCTTTGGATAAGCTGTACTTGGACTCAGAGCCCACAGAAAAGGGGCACAGACTGTACCTTGGAAGTGGCCGTGGCACTGGCTATCTGCAGTGCTCCAGAGACGTGCAGTGCCATCTTCACTGCCTGTCAGCAGATGCTGCCCATCTGGACTCAGACTGAGCCAGTTGATGCCTCCTCGGTGATCAGCACAGACCTTCAGTGCGGAGCCACTACTCCCCATCCTGCTGGCCCCAGCCCGGGCAGGGGACCCAGAAAGGGGTTGACTCACTGGCTCCGCACCATTCTAGGAAGGAACTCTGGGCCTGCAGTGGGCTCCCCGAGACCAACTTCAGCCATCACGATGGTCCTGCAAAACCAGCAAGCTAGCCTAGTCTCCTGCAGAAATGCAAAAGGTCGCACAACAGGACACACAATTCAGGCACCCTCAGGACCTGAGCGGTCCCGAACCAGGGAGTTTGCCAGACCAGGGGAGGTCAATGCTCCCAGGCTGGCTGCACTTACCACCACCCCCAGGGCTCCCAAGGCTAGGGCTCCCACTCCGTTGCCAGTGCTGCCACAAGGATTCCCCTTCTAGGGCCACCTGGCCACCACCAGCCCCTCTGGTGTTGGGGAAACCCCAGGGCTCCATAGCCAAGAATCCCCTGCTGCCTCCTAGCCCCGCTGCAGCTAGAGGTTCACTGGCTGTGGCCACTTGGCCACCCCAGCCCCACTGCCACCAGAGATTCCCAGGTTCCCCACCTGGCCCTGTTGATGCAGGGGTTCCCTGGCCCCCATGACAATGGGGAGTTCCCCAGACAAGGCTGCCCAGCCACCCAGCCCATTGCTGTTGGGGGATTCCCAAGGTTCACCGGCTGGGGTTGCCTGGTAGTCCTGCTCCTGCCAGAGATTCCCCAGGGCCACCTGGCCGTAGCCTGGCCCTGCTGCTGCAGGAGACTCTCTGGCCAAGGTGGGGCTCCCCAGCAGCCACCTGGCCCAGCCACTGCTGGTGCAGCCAGGGCTCCCCAACCCTGCGGTCTCCTGGCTGGCTCCTGCTCCCCGCCTCCAAAGCTCTTTGGTCCGGCAACATCTGTGGCCCTGTCAGATCACGGATGTTGCCGAACCAGAGAGTGCCGGATTTGGGAGGTTCGACCTGTACTAACTGATAGTTAACATGGATAATTACTGTCTTTTCCTCCCTGGCCAGGATACATTAAACTAACCAATCCCTTCCCTGCAAGAGAAAACATGGAAAATGCAGCAACTCTCACTGCTATAGGCACGTGGCTGACCTATGTTGCCACGCTGACCACACACACTTTATTCTCATTATAAGAAAGGGCTTCATTTTTTGCCATGAAGAGCATTGGTAACTCCCACTGCTCCCTCTCAGTGTAGTGCCAACAGTCTGGTGTCCTGACCATCCCGGAGGATTCTAACGTATCCCTGAAAGGTTTAAAGCAGGGGTAGGCAATAATTTTCTGAGGGGCCACTTCATGAATTTTGGAACATGGTCATAGGCCAGGTCCATCTCCCTTTATCCCCTGAAGTGGCAGGGTGGAAGGGATAGGGCTGGGGGCTACAGAGAGAGAGAGAGAGAGAGAGACAGTGTGTGTGTGTGTGTGTTTGAAAAACTGAGACACAGATTGAGTGTGTGTGTTGCACAGAGACAGTATGGTACAGCCTGGGGGTGTGACAGTGATACAGAAAGCATGTGTGCTGGCTGCTGCCTGGTAAGTTTCTCTTTTAGACAGGGAAAACTGTCCTCTTCTGTCTGTCTGACCCCTCACCCACCCTGCAGAGATGAGGTATGGGGAGGAAGAGTGTGTGTGCGACTGTGAAAGAGGGCACTAGCACTGAAATCTTAGAAACAGGGCACTGCCTCTGAAGACAGGCACTTCTGAGTCGCTTACCATCCATGCTTCAGATTGGAGCAGCTCCACAGTGTGTGTGTGTGTCTCTGTGTGTGTCTCTCTCCCGCCCCCTCACCCCAAACCCTGGCTCTGCAGAGATAGGATACAGGGGCAGGAGGACTTCCTGACTTCAGGATTCTCCCCTCCCCTCTGCACAGCTAGAAAGAGAATCCCAGGAGCAGCTCTGCTGCAGGATGGAGCAGGTTAGGGGGAAGGGTTGTTAAACACAAGCTGTGGTCTGCGAATCAGCTAGGCGGGCCAGAGAGAAATGCTTAGCAGGCTAGAGCCAGTCCCCAGGCCTGATTTTGCCCACCCCTGGTTTAAAGCCAGTTCTGACTTAACACAGCAGATAAAGAAGCCCAAATCCCAGTCCTGGACAATATCTCCCAACAGAGGCCTGTCTCTTCTAATTTGCAAAACATGAGTAGCTTGTCATTCCAATGAAGCATTATCAAACTGAGCTGACTGGACATGTCACCCACTGACTCTCAGCGTGGCTCCACAAAACATCCTTTTTAAGCACCGCTCTCTTACACCCCTCTAATTCTCAAAGGGGGTAGCCTTTTAGTCTGTATCTGCAAAAGCAATGAGGACTCTTGTGGCACCTTGAAGACTGATTTATTTGGACATAAGCTTTCATGGATAAAAACCACTTTGTCAGATGCATCCCCTAGAATGTGAACTAGCTCTAGCTTTAGAACTTATTCATCACCTTCCTACAAAACTGTGAATAGACATTAGAAAAAGGGGCCATATGCCAAAGAGAGCAGTGAGAACGCCCACATCACCTCCTCTCCCACCCACTTGCCACCCCCAAGAGTTGGCCTTAGGGCCAGAGCAGGATTGTTGCCTATGGGGCAGTTCCTATTATCCCTATTTAGTGCCTCTATGACGGGAGATGAGAAATCAGGAAAGGGCTCTCCCCTCTTGTCCTTCCTTATCTTCTCACTTCTTCCACTCTCAAAAAAATCTCAACATCTGTGCAAACTCAAATGGCTCCTCTCCTCCCTTCACACCCCTCCCCATGCCCATCTCTGTGCCCAGGGCAGGGCCCCCTCCCTACCCAACCCCCAGGGAGAAGCCCCAATCTGAACTGTTCCCCTCAGACCTCTTCCCCACCATGCCTGGGCTGCTTTTCCTCTCACGCCCCGTTCTTTCCCAGAGCAGCCGCCCCCCAGATCTCTGGTGGGCAGCAGGGGGTCCCAGCAGGGGGTCTGTGCTATCTGCCGCCCAGAGACGCCGCCTGTGCGCTCTGCGATTCCCCACCCAGTGCCGCCTCCCACAGGCCTCTCCCCAGCAGATACCCCCCCATCGGCAACTTCCCTCTCCCCCCACGTCTGTACCGCGTCCCCCTGCTCCCTCCCCCCACGTCTGTGCTGCTTCCTTCACTCTCCCACCCCCCTTTGTCCTGCTGCCCTCACGTAGAAGCCCCCCCACTAGCCAGCCCCCAGCTGCTGCCCCCAACATCTCTCCCCCCAAACAGAGCAGCCCTGACTCCCCGACAGCGTAGCCCCCGCTCGCTGTTACCAAGAGAGGGGAGACCCCCCCCGTCTCTGTCCTGCTCCGTGTCCCCCCAGCCTGCCCCTCCTCCGCCACTCCTCCCCCGCCCCACACAGGCCCCCCTCGCCCCCTGCTCTGCCCCACGCCCGGGCGCTTACCTCCCCCTCCAGGGCGGGCTAGTTGGCGGGCGGGGAGGCGCAGGAGCAACAAAGCCCGCGCGGGCTCGTGTGCAGGGGGCCGCGGCCAGGTCCTGCAGCAGCAGCGAGTTTTGTCCTTCCCACCAGCGAACGCGCCCCCAGCGCGCCGGGAGGCAGCGTCCTCGGGGCACCCACTCGCGGGGAAACGCGCCGCCCTGCCCGGACCACGCTCCCCTCTAGGCGGCTGCGGGGCCGGAGCAAAGCTCGCCCGTAAACCCTACGCGTTCTCCAGCCCGGCTGCCGAGGGGAAGATGCTCCCGGGGATGAGCTGCTGAGCCGGAGGCAGGGAGCAGCTCTGCCAGGGACGCGGCTGGCAGAGAGTCCATGCGCGGCGCGCTGCCTTTTGTCCGGCTCCGGGCACCCTTCCTCTGCAGGCATCCCAAGCCCGGGCTCTCGGAATCCCCTTCCCCCTGGTTCTCATTAATGTGGTGGTTCGGAGCCCAGCTTGTCTGTCAATCAGCTGCGCAGGGGGCCCAATCACCACCCCTCAGGCTTCCCCTAGGTCCTAGAGGAAGTTGGCTTCCGAGCAGGACTTTTTTTTTCGGTACTTCTCTTGCACTTTCCATCCGACTGTGGTTCCGTGGCCCCTCCAGTTCACTAGCCCAATAGAAGGTTATTCAACCTAGGAGAAGACTTGTGACTTTTGACACAATGTTAGTAGCCTGAAGCAAAATGCAGGACGATGTAGCACTTTAAAGACTAACAAGATGGTTTATTAGATGATGAGCTTTCGTGGGCCAGACCCACTTCCTCAGATCAAATAGTGGAAGAAAGTAGTCACAACCATATATACCAAAGGATACAATTAAAAAAAATGAACAAATATGAAAAGGACAAATCACATTGCAGAACAGAAGGGGGATGCGGATCAGACAAGATCACAAAGGGTGTGTCTAGACTACATGCCTCCTTCGACGGAGGCATGTAGATTAGCCAGATCGGGATCACAAAGAGAAAACAGTTTCTTGCCACTTTAACCAGAAAGGACACTCTCTAAATGACTTAGCCACCTGCATTCTGCTACAAAGACCTTTTACATCTGCACTTGAAAGGGAATCCTCTGAACTGTCATTCATGTTAAAATTCGACACTTACCACCAGGGACTTAACAAGTCTTTGAACTTTCTCACCCATTATCAAGACAGTTTCCCCAATTATCACCTGTAATACCATTAACTCACAAACATCCCACTCTCCCTACCTTTAATATCAGCAATTCACAGACACTTACCTTCCTTCCTCCCCCTTCCCACCCCCCCGCATCCCCCTTCTGTTCTGCAATGTGATTTGTCCTTTTCATATTTGTTCATTTTTTTAATTGTATCCTTTGGTATATATGGTTGTGACTACTTTCTTCCACTATTTGATCTGAGGAAGTGGGTCTGGCCCACGAAAGCTCATCATCTAATAAACCATCTTGTTAGTCTTTAAAGTGCTACATCGTCCTGCATTTTGCTTCAACTACCCCAGACTAACACGGCTACATTTCTATCACTATTCTTAGTAGCCTGAGGCTCCTTTGTGTGCTCTGCCTTATGTGTGCACCTCAGGTCAGGCCCACTCAGACTAACTGCCAGGAACAGGTTTTATTCTGCAAAGAACATAGAACAGGGTTACAGTTCAGCAGCCTCTCCTCTCTGCTTGCAACCTACCTGCCCGCAGCTTAGTCAGTGAAACCCTGCAGGGAAGTACGGCACAACCCCTGCCTTACACACATGTTCTAACTAGGGATGTGACTGGTTAACCAGTTAATCAGAAGTATCACCCTTAACCATAACTAGTAAGCATTACTGGTTAACGGTGGGGACTAGAGCAGCCCCCCCCCCCCCCCCCCCCCAGTCCTACAGAGCCCACAGGCACTGACTTTCATCACACTGAAAAACTTTCAAGTGTAGACATAGCTTAAATACACAAAGGAGAGGAGGAGAAATAGAGATTCAGAAAAGTGAAGTAATTTGACCCCCAAAAAATCACTCAGCAGATCAGTCAGGAACACAATCAGGAACAGAACCTAAGTTTTGGGTAAGAAATGGGCAACTGAGATGGGCAGAGCACAAATGATTGCCCAAGTTCACTCAAGAAATGTGTGGCATAAGTGGGAACAGAATCTGTTTCTCCTCACTCCCAGCCTTTTTTAGCCACAAAACCATCCTTCTGATGCTAGACAAGAGCTGCAAGATATGATCTGAAGACAACCCACTTTATTGTATTTAGTGACAAAAATACACTAGCCATTTTGCAGATGTATAAGATAAGGTCCCTGTCCCCAAAGGGTTGCTAGTAATATAATTATTCCATTGTAAAGAAATGTGTCAATTAAACCAATTCTTCAGAAAGAATCATATTCAGTGCACTACATTATTGCTGACATAAGACAAACCTAATATTTCCCATCCACAAAGAGCATATGATTA